CTGACCTAGGGAGGATTTTATTTGGGGTTTATCTTTTAACAATTTGACAGAGACACAACTTTAAAATTTGATTTAATTCGGTTTTATCGGGGGGGAATGTATTTATGTTTTGTTTTAAATATGTTGTGCGCCGCCCTGAGTCCCGCTGGGAGAAGGGCGGCATATAAATTAAATTTATTATTATTATTATTATTAAATGGTATAGGGTCTCCTGCTTGAGCAAGAGATTGGATTAAAAGACCTCTGAGGTCCCTTCCAACTCTTATTCTGTATTCTGATGTCACCCTTTTTGTATTTTCTCTGCTGCTTGAAGGTAAAAATCGATGAGAATCTTTCTCTGGCTCATGTAATTCAAGATTTAAATTAGATGAAAACTAATCAAGGAGAGAAGCAACCTAGAACTAAGGAGAATTTTCCTGACAGTGAGAACAATTAATCAGTGGAATGGCTAGCTTCCAGAAATTGTGGGTAGTCCATCACTGGAAATCTTCAAGAAAAGATTGGACAGTCATTTATCCAGAATGGTGTAGGGTCTACCTGCTTGAGTAGGGGTTGGGCTAGGAGACCTTCAAGGTCCCTTCCAACCCTATTATTCTATGTTCTAAGTGAAAAATCCTCATGCAGATGCAGAACAGCTGTTTTTTCTTAACTGTGCCAGCAAGCGGTGAAATCTCTGCCTATTCATCTCTAATTTTCTATGATCCAATCCAGTGGCTATGGACCTCTCCTCTCTGATGAGAACAGAAAAGTAAAACCATATTCCATCTGAGCTCAATTTTTGTTGACTGACATGGAAAATTCCTGCCTCTTTCTTGGGATTATAGGAAGTATTTCTTTCATGTTCTCAGGTTGTGCAGCTCTTACAAGGTTCGGATGTCAAACTTTAAGAGGCGTATTTTTTTTCCAGTTCTCACGAGCTGCTGTGTATTTCTTGGCAGATGTTTTTCCCCAACATATTTTTTTTTCTTTTGCAATTTGTGCCCTACTACAGAGTGCTTTCTCAGTTGAAAAGAGAAGAAATTTTAAAAATTAAAACGCGCCGTAAGTGAATTGAGCGTTCCATTTTTCTTTCCCAAAGGTGGCATTTTGAAACTGCCCTTCTTTGGCGACCCTACAGATGAAAACTGCTTTGAAGATAATGTCTACTGGGAAGTAAGTGGATTACCCCAGGATTAACTAAATTAATCCAGATTGTGGGAGAAACTCCCTCTGTGGAGCCTGCACCGACGATTTATTCCATGGTCCTGGAAGTAGGTCCGACTGAAAGCAAAGGAATATGTATTTCACTAAGCATGAATCAATTCTGAGGTGGAAGCTGCTTTCGGGTGTTTTAACACGGGTCTTCTCTGATGGAGAAGGTGAACATGACATTTTCAGGATTGTTATACCCCAAACACACCTCCGTGTGGCATGCACAGTTTGCCTTCCTCCTAGTTTCCACAGCACCAACCCTGTGAGGTAGGTTGGGTTGAGAGATCACAACTGGCCCCAGATCCCCAGGTTGGTCCATGGGTGGATTGGAACCTGGGTTTCCCCATCCCCAGTCCAATGGCTTCATCTTTGCATCACACTGGCTCTCTTTCAGAACAGGAAGAAAGGTAAAATCCAGTCCAAATTTCTAATAAATAAATAAATTTGAAAGCATTTGTGACCCTTAGTTCAGGTTGAGGACTATTTTTGATATGGTAACTTGAAAACCTGGGTTATTTTCACCACCCCTGAGGAACATACCATAAGAATACTGCCTCTCGGGCATTAGTGCCAGCGTATTGGAATTTCATTTCTCTCTCTTGTTTATTGATGGCCTCTGTCTTGAGATCAGTATGGCCAAACCTGGCCCTCTAATTGTGCATTTTATTATTTTTGGGGAGTAGAACTCATATCCAAGTGTTTCAAAGTGCTTGAATGTTGTTACTCTGGATGTAAAACAATACAGTATATATCACATACTGTATATCAGATAGATATACAGGGAATTATCTATCTATCTATCTATCTATCTATCTATCTATCTATCTATCTATCTATCTATCTATCTATCTATCTATGTCTGTCTGTCTGTCTGTCTGTCTGTGTCTGTCTGTCTGTCTGTTTGTCTGTCTGTCTGTCTGTCTGTCTATCAGTATCAGTATCAGTATCAGTATCAGTATCAGTATCAGTATCAGTATCAGTATCAGTATCAGTATCAGTATCAGTATCTATCTATCTATCTATCTATCTATCTATCTATCTATCTATCTATCTATCTATCTATCTATCTATCTATCTATCTACAGTATCTGTCTGTCTGTCTGTATCATTATCTATCTGTCTGTCTGTCTGTCTGTCTGTCTGTCTGTCTATCTAACTATCAGTATCATTATCTATCTATCTATCTATCTATCTATCTATCTATCTATCTATCTATCTATCTATCTATCATTATCTATCTATCTATCTATCTATCTATCTATCTATCTATCTATCTATCTATCTATCTATCTATCTATCTATCTATCTATCTATCTATCTATCTATCTATCTATCTATCTATCTATCTATCTATCTNTTTTATATGACGGCTTATTTCTTTTTTTAATGTTAACACGTTCCCCAAGGGCATTTAAGTCCAAATGAAACCAATGCACAAATATCTTGCACCACTTGTCAAAAACTGGGCCTAAAGTCTGAGTTTTATATGCTTTCAATGGAAGGGAGCACTTTATTCATAAGACAGGCTTCCAGCATCCTTCCTGGTATTCTTTAGTGGCTGACTACTGATTTTCACAATGCCAAACATCCAGCATGCGGCATTACAATTTTATGGCCCCCTCCCCCCACCCTTGTGAAAAAGGCTTCCGTTTTTCTGCCTTATGCTCAGAGGGGTTCAAATGTTTTCCATCCTTCTGTGAACTTCTGGCTGCTCCCACTTCCCAATCTGGAGAATCCCCATAGGAGACATTTGCTTATAAGGCTTCGTCTCAGCATTTTGGTAGAAGCATACGGAATCAGAAAATTTGCAGCAAGAAAACTATTTGCATGATATCTTTGTTGACCTTACTGCCAAAGCAGTATGGGGTGTTCAGGGAGGGGTAGCACCTCTGGTGGAGGGCATGTCGTGCCCTTTTTTTAGGGCAGCTCGTACACCTTTGGTCCCCACCTAACACTCAGCTCTCACCTGTGGCTCCTGGTAGCTGTAACATGCGCAGCAGCCACACCCCGGGCAACAGCTTCGACAGGCTGGCCAAACCAGGTTGAGAGTAGCTGTTGTGTCTTCGACATTCGGTGAGCAAGGGATTTGTCTATCCCAAGCATGTGAAGACAGACTCTGGTGGATTGAGCGGATGAGACCTATTAAAATAGGACCAACGATCATGAAGGCAGTTTCTGCAAGCGACGTGGTACGCTGAGAGCACGGCAAGACACGAAAGATGCCCTGGTCAACCACTGCGCCCAGCCCATCTCCAACTGTCTCGACTTTTGTCCTGCCATTGGAACAAGATGGAATCTGGGAAGAGAGAGTGAGGCTGGCTATGCGCACCTCTCCCTCACTTTAATCCAATCCACGCGCAAGTCTTGACATCTTGCCCATAAGATGTCAAGGTCTTCATCGAAATCGATGGACGAACAACAACAACAACAACAACTGCCAAAGCAAGGCAAGAACAAGACACTTTGACCACTTTGCTGGCTGTGGGATTCTGGGAGTTGAAGTCCACACATCTTAAAGGTTAAGAAACACTGGGTTGTAGAATACAAAATACATGTCAGGTCCCAAGCTGGGGAAGGCTACTATAAGCCAATAAGAAATCTTTCCAAGTGACACAGTTAATAATGGGAATTCTCTCTTTCTCTTGTAGGGTCACCAACCTCTGTATTTGGAATTCCTTTTTTTTTTTTTTTTTACAGCAGAATCATGGAAACTGAAGAAGGCAAAAATATTATCACTCAAATGAAGATATTTTTTTAAAACATGAACTCTGGCAAAAATTATGCAAACTAATAATAAGGAAGTTGAAAATCCCCAGACTGAGAAGCCTATTGCTAAGAACCAAAAGAAGTTTTGAAAAAAAAATGCCATAGAAATAATAAGCAATAACATTTTATTTAATTGATAAATAAAAAATGAGCCCAGGCAGTCCCCATAGAGTTCTTAAAATGAAATTGCTGAAGTTTTAGCAAACACATAAAACTTTCCCTAAAATTGGCTGTTTTTTTAAAAGGCTTGGACATTAGTTTTTTTTAAAATAATAATAATAATAAGGAAGGAAGGCAAAGGAAGTTTCTTTTAAAAAGAAGCTAAAAATTACAGCTCCCATTCTAGGTAAATTTATGGAAAGCATTATGAAAGGCAAAATGACAAGCCATGTAGAAGAATGAATATGGTTTCTGTGCAGGCAAGTGTCACCTCCCCAATTTTTAAAGAGTTTTTTAAGGGTTCAACCTGACCTGGATGCTTTAGCCAACATCTTCCTCAGTCAACCTACCAACCTACCAATCAAGGGAGAAGACCATTCTTTTTATAGATGTAGCAAGACTGAGAAAGAAAGAATGCATATAATGCGAGTTTTGCAAAAGAGGGATGCCAGAAATAAGGCCATCCCCAAGTTCTGTGGGGAAATGGTGGCCTTTTAATAAAGTAGTTCCAAAATGATCTAGTGATGAGCAGCGTAGAGCAGCAAAGTGGTTGAATTTACAGATGATTCCAGATTGTTCTGGAATAATCTGAGGAAAAGTGTCAACCGGCCCTCGGAGGGTTCCCAAGTGAGATACATGGAAGAGCAATCACCTAAGTTTTGTTACAGATCTTGGGGTGGCTGTCCATAGTCTGATGAACATCTTGACCCACTCAACGGGACACCAAGCTTCATCAAATCAGTTAAAGGCCTTGAGGCGGCAACACGTGACTTTGATTTCCTCAATCTGTAAATGTTGTAAGTAAAGACATTTTTACAAAAAGCGACCAATGTTTGCCATGTTTTATCTTCCACAGAGACTGCTCCTTAGAATATTGAATATCAGAGTTGGAAGGGACCTTGGAGGTCTTCTAGTCCAACCCCCTGCTCAAGCAGGAGACCCTATACTGGTTGTCCAGTCTCTTCTTAAAAGCCTCCAGTGATGGAGTGCCCACAATTTCTGGGGGTAAGCTGATCCACTGGTTGATTGTTCTCACTGTCAGGAAATTTCTCCTTAATCTAATCTCTTTGATTAATTTCCATCTGTTGTTTCTTGTCCTGCCCTCACATGCTTTGAAGAATAAGTTGTCACTTTCTCCTTTGTGGCAACCCTTCAAATATTGAAAAACTGCTATCACGTCACCCCTGATCCTTCTTTTTTTAACCATACCCAATTCCTGCAACTGTTCCAGCCTTCAGGTCCCTAAACATCTTTGTTGGTCTTGTCTGCATTTTTTCCAAAGTCTCAAAGCCAATAATGTGGTGACCAAAACCGGATGCAGTAAGGCCTTGCTAAAGCTTTATCTCCTGCTTCTTCATTGGACAGTGACCACCAAACAAAACTTAACAGTGACATACAGAAGTCGTGCTGGGTAATAAAAGAAACTTGTCTGGGTTTTTATGTATTGTGGGAAATGAAATGCTGCAAGAACCATAATGGTTGCCTTAGCACAGGGTCTGAATCCAGCTACCATCTTTTGTAAGGCCTGTTTCCAGCAACCCAAATGTTCACGTTCTTAGTGATGCTTATGACTTAATGTTTCTCAACTGCACAAATTTTCCTAAGGAAGGGCATTGATTTTCTCCCATATTAGTTGGGAGATATTTTAAAAGAATTGTATATTGAAGCTGGGGAGAAGAGAAGCTCCTCTCTCTTCTTTCTTTCTTTCTTTCTTTCTTTCTTTCTTTCTTTCTTTCTTTCTTTCTTTCTTTCTTTCTTTCTTTCTTTCTTTCTTTCTTTCTTTCTTTCTTTCTGAGCGGCTGCTCTCAATGGTGTCTGCTTATATTCTCACACCCAAGGAACGAATTGGATGTAAGCCATTTGTGTGCCCTTGGGATACAACACCCTCATTTTCTATGCTGGAGAAAGAGGGGCCCGTGCACCCCCCACCCCAAACCTGTCTCTCTTTATCACATGTTCCTGGAATTTGTCAGCAGCTGCCAGCAGCAGCATCTTAATTAACTGTCGGCAAAGATGGAAGCACATGAGACACGGTTCTAATTGGACTGCTGGCATTGTGGAAGTGGGGAGGGAGTGGAAAGCAACAAAGGCAAAGGCTGCCGAGCTGGGAGTGTCCCCTCTGCGTAGCATGGGGAGGTGGGATGAAGGAGATCCGTCTGTCAAGATAAGTGAGGATTTGGCTTGGCTTGATCTGCAATCACTTTGATTTAAAGAAGGGGTGAGGAGAGAGAGAGAGAGAGAGAGAGAGAGAGAGAGAGAGAGAGAGAGAGAGAGAGAGAGAGAGAGAACAATGACCAGAAGTCTTGGTCAACAGCTCTTTTTCTTCTAGGTTCTTTATCAAGGGTGGTGCAGAAGTGATGGTAGAGGGTAGAAAAATTGGTTGCTGAAGGATTCATCTGTTCTTGATTTTTGCTTTGCTAACTGCTTTGGAACATGTAGGATTCTCTCTCTCTCTCTCAATTTCTCTCTATCTCTCTTTCTCTCTCTCTCTCCATTCATCTTCTCTCTCTCTCTCTTTCGCTCTCTCTCTTTCTCTTCATCTTCTCTCTCTTTCTCTCAATCTTTCTCTCTTTCTCTCTCCATCCATCTTCTCTCTCTCTCTTTTCTCTTTCTCTTTCTAGAAGAAGAAAAAGAGCTGTTGACCAAGACTTCTGGTCATTGTTCTCTCTCTCTCTCTCTCTCTCTCTCTCTCTCTCTCTCTCTCTCTCTCTCTCTCTCTCTCTCTCTCTCTCTCTCTCTCCATCCATCTTCTCTCTCTCTCATCCAAATGTTAGAGTAGGCACAGAGGCAGCATCATTCAAGGAGGACCATCTCCATCAGCAGCAGCATTTTTTTCTTTGCCTTAAGCAGCAAAACATATTGCCACATCCTTTTCCACGGGTTTTAATCTCAGGGAAATGACTGTAGGATGGCAGCTAAATGGTGTTAAGGAAGCCAAAGACAGTTTGAGGAAACCCTTGGTAAAGTGTCCATCTAGGGTTTTTATTGCACAGAGAAATCATAGCCAAAGTTCTTGAAGAAGATATGCCTTGTAGCACAGTGAAAACACCCACGTAATTATTATTATTATTATTTTTAAAAAAGAGGTTTTGATATCCACTCTTCTTTTTCCCACAAGCTTCTCCAGCTAACTTTGCATCTAGACTAGAGAGTGGTGGGAAAACCAAAATTGCTTCCAGCTGAATATTGATGGTATTTATTTATTGAACTTTGGTAGGCTATGACACTCCCTTAGTTTAGTCTGGGTCCAAAAATTCAGTTGGAATGGACTAGACGGGCCATATTCCAATTGTTTTGCTTTTGCAGGTAGCTAGAGAATCCATTTTTAAAGGTCAACCCATGAAAAATGCAGCATAGTCCTTGAATCCAAGTATGTGCTTATTCTTACTTTATTGTATTCCTTTCACTCTTTGATGCTATCTACAGATGACTTTTAAATCACACTTCACTTTGTACTTGCTTCACTGGGTCTATCTGCACGTCTGTCTGTGGTCCCTGTTTCACTATATTCACTGCACAGGTTATATTTTGAATAGGTCACCTCTGTCTATCTGCATGTGTCTTCACAAATGTGATTCTAGGCAGCCACAGCTTCAATATATACAGGAACTTCTTATGAAATGCTGCTTGTCAATCCAGGCTTGCAGTTCCACAGCACATTTGGTGCTTTAGATTCATAGTTTCATCCTTGAAATTGTGTATGGTATGTGTTACTGTCAGGAAGGGCATATGTTTGCATAACTGTATTTTAACAGACTAACAAGAGTTGGAATGGACCTTAGAGGTCTTCTAGTCTAACCCCCTGCTCAGACGGGAAACACTATACCATTTCAGACAAATGGCTGTCCAGTCTCTTCTTAAAAACTTCCAGTGTTGGAGCATTCACCGCTTCTGGAGGCAGGTTGTTCCACTGGTTAATTGTTCTCACTGTCAGGACATTTCTCCTTAGTTCTAGGTTGCTTCTCTCCTTGATTAGTTTCCATCTGTTGCTTCTTGTCCTGCCTTCAGGCGCCTTGGAGAATAGCTTGACTCCCTCTTCTTTGGGGCAGCCCCTGAGATATCGGAACACTGCTATCATGTCCCCCCTCATCCTTCTCTTCATTAAACTGGACATACCCAATTTCAGCAACTATTCTTTATATGTTTTAGCCTCCAGACCCCTGATCATCTTTGTTGCTCTTCTCTGAATTCTTTCTAAACATCTTTTTTATATTATGGTGACCAAAACTGGATGCAGTATTCCAAGTGTGGCCTTACCTTGGCCTTACCAAGGCATTATAAAGCGATCATTCTTCATATTTTCATATAGTTATGTGCCCAGCATGGGCCAGATTTACTTTGTACTCATACCTGAAGGTAGGGATGTATGCCCTGTCCATCCAGAAGCCAAGTCCATTCCTATGGACACATTAGCCACCATACCTGTCACCATGTCTGTGTCTGTGCTTGCCGATTTCCACGTGTATGTGAAGCGCTCCAGGATCTTCTGAAAGAACTCTAGGGGGGAAAAAAATTATAATCAGATTAAGGCGGCCTATCACTCTGAGCTCTTGAAAAGGACATAAGGTTTCTAATGTGCCTAGCCACAGTCTCACAAAACGTCCAAGTATCCCAGCGGGGGCCAAGCCCTCCGAAGCACAAGTAAAAGAGGNCCAGCCGGCACTGTCTGGCTGACGGCACCCTGAGGAGACCCACTCTGTGGGAGCGTACCGGCCGATGGGAGGTAACCTGCGGCAGAAGGCGGTCTCGGAGATATCCAGGTCCGATGCCATGGCTCAGCTTGGAAACCTGTCCCTTTCCCCTCAGCATGGCTGGCTCAGGAATTCTGGGAGTTGAAGTCCACGAGCCATAAAAGAGTCAAGGTTGCCTACCCCTGGTCTACACCAATGTTTCTCAACCTCAGCAGCTTTAGGATGTATGGTCTTTCATTTGCAGAATTCCTCAGCCAGCCTGCAAACAATGTCCCACACAACTCCACGCTGTGCTGTCCATGGTCCTGCTTGGCAACTGTTGTGAGCTCAGCGAATGGCAGGAATGATACTGAAGTAATGTTTTAGTATAGTTTAGTGGCCATGAGCACTAATGGTATAATTCTTCACTTGTTTACTTGCGGCTATGATCACAAATGTGTCGAGCACAGCTCTTTGCTTGGGAAGGTCATAAAAATATTTTTTCCCGTTACCAAAATTCTTTTCAGCCTGTTCCAAAGCTGCTTTCTCAAAAGGCAACTGGACTTTCTTTGTTTTTCCTTGGTGTTTTGCTTCTCCTCCAAGACGCTTCTTCAGTTCTGGCTGAATGGTGGTGGATAGAATTGAAGAAGCTTCTTGGAGGAGAAGTGAAATGTCTTCAAGGAAAAACAAAGGAAGTCCAGTTGCCTTTTGAAAAAGCACTTTTGGGACAGCCAAGACCTGGATGACGGAGAATATCCATAGACAATCCACTCATGAGTTTTCTTTCTGCTTGGAGTAAAATAGGTATCACAAACTGCAGCTTCCAGATAATTTTCAATGTTCCTGCTATTCAGTTGAGTTGACATATATGTCTATTGAGCAATTTTCCACATGACATCTTGCTTCAACTCTCAATGCCATAAGAACTCATGTGACATCCTTCTCTTTGACTGGATTTACATACTATTAAATATTAGATACCCTGAGTATGGAGATTTAAATCCCTAAACAAACAAGCAAAGCTGTATTTGCTGTTTTTAAAAAAACAACATATTTCCTAAAGATCCTAGCAATTACTCTTAGCCTCATGCACTGTTACTTGCATTTAGTTTCATAATTATCAGCTTATGGATTCCTACATATCCTGTTTTATGTAGAGGCAAGCTAGTAAAAAGCTAGTAGAGGGTTAGAAAAACATGTGCTTTTATTTAATTTAATTTAATTTAATTTAATAATTTAATTTATATACCGCCCTTCTCCCGTAGGACTCAGGGCGGTGCACAGCATATTAAAACAGACAAACAAAATACATCAAAGAACAAAAAACCCCCATAAAACCAAATTAAAAGCCAAATATTAGAAGCTGTGTGTCAATTAAAATTTTCTTAAAATCATCCCTACCTCAAGGCCAAGTCGGATTTCTTCATACTCAAATAATATTCAGAATGAGTAATGAGTAATGCTGTGTTTTTTTAAAAAGATGCTACTGTTGCTACTGTTGCTGCAGTCTAAAATCACACTGACCATTTTTGCAGCTACATCACATATTAAGTTTGTCATCAACTGCTTTGGGTATCCTTGCAGATAATGCCAGAGTACCTCAATGTTGCCTCCAAATTTTATTTAAAACGGGATCTAGAAGGTAATTTTATCATTGGTGATTTCTAAAGCGGATCCGATATATTTTTGGTGGTATCTAATCAGTTCACTTATACTACAGTGGTTAAGATTGCTTTGGGTCAATAGGTTCAAAATAGGTCCTGGATGTAAAAAGTCACTGCAAAATTATTTCATTAGCCACTTCAGCATCTTTTCTTTTTCTATCTTTTTTTAAAAAAATATATTGAATCTGATTGGCTCACGTGATACAGATGTAGTTATGGATGCTCACACTATATTTGTGTGTGTGTGTGTATACGTATACATACACACACACAAACATACACATAGCATTGCAGTTGTGAAGCCAACAACTCATTGGGACGTAAACAGCATTTTGTCATAGATTGCACACACACAAACACACACATATGGTGTGTATGTGTGTGTTTGTGTGTGTGCATTCTATGACTAAATGCTGTTTACGTCCCAATGAGTTGTTGGCTTCACCTCTGCAATGCTATATGCCTCCAGAGGTCATTCTCATCAACTCATTGTGTCCAAAGTGTCAAATAACTCAGCTGCACCCCTGTCTTTCACCCAGAGTCCTGAAATCTGGACATTCAGACACCCAGGGGAATAAATAAGAATTGAAACATGTCTCCAGCAGACGTTATTGTCTTCTGGGCCTCTCTCCACCATCCTTCCAGACATAACATATGCAGACACTCTGTGAAGTTGTTTGAAAGTCTGCTGGCAGTTTCAGTGGCAAAGGAGTACAGCTTAGCTATGATCTGATCAGCTTCGTATCTAAGCTGTATTCTCCCTGCTGACAAGTATTTGAAAGAGGGGAGGGACCACTTTCAGCCCCAAATGATGAATCTTTCACAGACAAGAATGGACCTTTTCTTTTGCCTTGTTGCTAGGCAAAGTGGCGTGAGGCCCACACTTGGAGGCCGGGGCCTAGACTGCCCGGCCTCAGGTTAACAGGATAAGGAGATTCAGACCAAACAACTTGTTTTATAGGGTGCTCCCCCCCCCCTGCCCGCCACCTTCTCCTCCTTCAATGGCATTTGATTGGCAGGTAACATCTCGTCTCAACTTCCAACCCAAATAGTTGCAACTTCTTTCTGGGACCTTCTCTGAGTTGTGGGGTGTAGCGAGAGAGGCAAGGATTTGCATAAGGAGACAAGATTCTTTCATTTACTCTTCTTCAGTGGTCATAAAACACGCTGGCTGCTCTGTCTCACAGTTTTGCTGGATTCGGTGATAAATGTTCCATTACAGGACACCTGTTTTGTCCAGTCCCATTCAAACAAACATGGAGTTTCCCACTGCATTAACAACTCAGGGTATTGTTAGAGGACTTAGGGATCAGCAGTAGTGTGAAAAGGCATGAAGCATCTCTGGGGCACTATTTTCACAGAGTTTTCAATATTGCATGCCCAGTTGTAAAGATGCAACTATTTCCCTAACTCTCAAGAGTATTTCAAGCCTTAGTATGTTCCTGGGAATAACCATTCCAGAGAAGATCTTGGTTTTAAGAGGAAAAAAACTGCTTTGAAATGTGACTATTTCTTATTAGGAAAAAAAATAGTGATTATAATCATTATAACGAAAACGAGAAGCAAACGCTTTTTTCATTTTTTTTAAGACAACAGGATCATTTCAATGGCATAAATTAGGAGGCAGGATGTTTAGGCCTGTTTGCCATTTTGAGTTGACCATAATATATAAAAAGTGAGATAAAAAGTAATAATAACAATGGAGCACCACTTAAACATCATTGACATTGACAAAATCACCATCGGTCAATTGTAAAAGGCAAGCTTCACCTGGAACAGCTTATATCCTTCCACAATGCCCACCATCAATAAAGGAGAATATTTGTAGCTGAAGATTGAAATAAGGGTCCTTGGTGCTCTCTGAGTTTGGGGTTTTTCTTGCTGGCGTTTCATTACACAAACTAGATAACATCATCAATGCTGGTCCATCAAACAACATTTACACATCCCAGGTCCTTGAGATTTCCTCCATAAAAATGCCAAATCCAGTATATACACATTGAACCATAATAATAATAATAAAACTCAGAAATAGCAAATCAGATCAAAACAAATACAAATGTACCACTTTTTTTGTGTATGTATGCATCAACTTAAATTCTTTCCCTGTCTATCCCCTTGCAAAAAAATATAACAGTTTTTATGAGGACAACAAATGAATCAGCCTTTCGTTCCCTAACTTCACATCATTTAGTAAAATTGTCTGACCTGGATTAATGCGATTTGCATATTCTTGGCTAATTATGGATAAGTGAGCAGTTTGAACTCCATCTATCTTTTTCCATGAATCCTTCCTTTGAAGAAAAAAAAAACCCAGCCCAGATTAGCAGTGCAAACCATATTCAAGTGACAATTCAGACTGAAAATGTATGACAAGGTGAGCTCTGGGGAACCTTTGGAAGACAAAAGCTACATTTAACATTTTATGTGCAATGGGGGGGAGGGGAATGTCATATCTGAAGAAACAAAATGGGTGAGGACATGGATTGGGCTCAAGTCTACTCTACTGCAATAATCTACCCTGCAATTTTATAGGTTTTTTTTCCCTCTGCAAAACAGGTCTTTACTTTTCCATCTTATTCCCCAAACACTAAACATCTTTCTATCAAATTTGTACTTGCTTTTTTGATTAGATTTTTTGAATCCAGTAAAAGTATTGAAAATTAAATGGAAGAAAGATAAGAAAAGTGAAAAAAGAAAAAATAGAATTATGATTCCTGCCCCCCTTTTTTCTCTCTTGAGCAGTTTTCATTTTACTCATTTCCCTCCCTCTTTAACTCCTTTTAAACCCCAAATTCATAAATCATCTATTCAGTCTTTTCCACTTTCAACAAAAAGTCCACTTTAAAAAAAAAGTCTTTATTGTTTTTTCCCCCTAACTAAACAGATCTACTTTACCAGTTTCTCCATCAATTTTCTAACCTAATCTTCTGTGGGTATTCAAAAAAAATGGAAATCCATTTTTGATGTTGGCAAGATATAGAATGAATGAACGAATCAATCAATCAATCAATCAATCAATCAATCAATCAATGATTTTGAATAAAGCCAACAGGGATGGATTCCATTCTGTTTTCTTACTTTGAGATTTATTGGAATAGACCGGGGTAGGCAACCTTGGCTCTTTTATGAATCATGGACTTCAATTCCCAGAATTCCTAAGCCAGCCATGCTGAGGGGAAAGGGAGAGGTTTCCAAGCTGACATTAAAGAGGCAGGGGCTTCATGCCCACTGGATGGAGGCAAGTGATGAAATTTGTCTTATCACACAAAAGCTAAGATTTAGGTTCTCATATCAGTTATTAGGACATAAGTTCATAATTGTAGCATATATTGGATCTGATGACATCACCTTGCACTTGTCATTCTGATATTATCACAGTTTGCTGTAGGCACCACCGAGAATGGATTGCCCAGTGAAATATAGGATATACCTCCATCACTATCCACTACGAAGTGCACAGTTACTACAAAACACTTGGGGTCATAAATAGATAAATACATTTGAAAGCAAGTTTTCTTCAGCCAAATTAAATGAGAAATAGTTTTGAAAAGTGCAGGAGAATTTTTCAGTTGGTCACCAGACAGGAGGAGATATGCTCTCTGTCCCTCTGTTTCGTGCTATGAATATATAATTATTAAATGCCTACTTCTTTCCTCACATTTTGATTCAGAAGCCGCACGGGTGAAATGGAATGACCTGGATCCTCCATCGGAATTCAAGTAGGAAGATGCAAGGTCTCACCTACATGTTTCCTGAATGGAAAACTCAATAGAAAGTTAGGGAAATAGTGTAGTCTAAGAATAATTATTTCAAACCTCACCCAAATAAAGCATCATCTGCTCTCCAAAGTGTGAGGTTGGTTTCGGTCACTACCAGACAACAGTTTTTTCGATATCAAGACAAGATTGCCACTGGTTACATATATATATATATATATGTCTAATTTGTTGGTTTTTATAAAATCCTATGAAAGCCTGAATAATTCTGATTGGAGGAAGCCCCATCAAAAATAAAAGAATTGCGCTTGTTTCTATATTTGAAACGGGACACGTGGTTAAGAATTGTTGCTCCAAGTTTGTCTTTTTACTAGACCATCTTGAGATCTCAGTTAATGTCCTCTTTGGCTTTCAGTTCAACAGTGATTTGGATAATGGTGATATGCAAATATCCTGATGCCCTCTAGATTTATTCCAATTCATTTCAATTTATTCCTAGATTTCCAAGGCAGGACAACTGATATCAGTGAGAGCATCCCAATTTATAAGCAATTGCCTTTCGCCCTTGAAGCAAGTCTAATTTTTTTTCTTGCACTTCCTTTTTATTTTTATTCTTTCTTCCTTTCCACTCCTTCCAAATTCTAAAAGACAAGATGGGTTGCCTCTCTGAAAGCTTCTTCTCTTATTCATTTGCATTCCCGCCAGCCTCCATTAATTCTGTGGCTTCTTTATAGAGTTATAACCACCACATTTGCTTGCCAGATGCATTGTTGGCTAGCCTAAGTCTCTCGTTCTTCTTCTTCTTCTTCTTCTTCTTCTTCTTCTTCTTCTTCTTCTTCTTCTTCTTCTTCTTCTTCTTCTTCTTCTTCTTCTTCTTCTTCTTCTTCTTCTTCTTCTTCTTCTTCTTCTTCTTCTTCTTCTTCTTCTTCTTCTTCTTCTTCTTCTTCTTCTTCTTCTTCTTCTTCTTCTTCTTCTTCTTCTTCTTCTNTCTTTTTTCTTCTTCTTCTTCTTCTTCTTTTTCTTCTTCTTCTTCTTCTTCTTCTTCTTCTTCTTCTTCTTCTTCTTCTTCTTCTTCTTCTTCTTCTTCTTCTTCTTTTTTAAAGATCTCTGTGGCAAAACTAAGCCTTGAGCAGACATCTTTTTTTTCCAGCCATAATTGACATTTAACAGACGTCTGCAACTTTGTCTGTACTTTAAAAAAAAAAAAAAAGAGAGAGAGAGAGAGAGAGAGAGAGAGAGAGAGAGAGAGAGCCAACTAACAAAGAGGCATCTCCACATGGCACACAGTGGATGTTTGTATCTCTATTTGCCTCCTAGAGTGTTTATGCTAATCCACTGCCAAGTGGATTCCACCTCTGCATACTGATTTGGCATTGATTCAGTCTAGATCAGGGTGTATGATGTCTGGGACTTGAACCGTGTGAAGATCCTGAATAGAAAAGGACAACGGTGTTGTTTGTCAGAGTTGGAGAGAAAGACAAAGTATCTCCTTTCTTCCCACATCCCATAAGAATCATCGTTTGGACCACATAAGGGGTAGGGGGGGGCTGTGGAGAACCAACCCTGCCACCTTAGGTCAAGTCACAATGGAACTGAAAGGCTGGACCTTAGTTAGAAAAAAATAAAGACAAGAGGATTCCGGGCTAAAATTCCACCAGGGGGAAAGGATTCCCACAGAGGGGTTGAGTGCCTGTCAAGGGAAGAAAATAAAAATAAAAATAAAAATCATGACTTGTTGGGTTTTGCAAAGTTTGCATTTTTGACATGTTCAGGACTGGCGCTCCTATATTATTCAGGTGAAGGCTGGAGGCAGTCCAAGGTGATCTCCTCAAAAGAATGAATTGGGAGAAGAGGTTTTATGCCATGCTTGATCTTTGAAAACAAGCAACTTGGGGAGAAGAAAACTGGGAAGCAGATTTTGAGAGCAGACACTAGTGAAAGAGATGCAAATGATAAATACTAGATCAAGGACATATTTAGGGTTAATAGGAAGGCATATCAGGGCTTAATCAAGTCTGTGAAGCCAACCCACCGCAAACATGCAAGTCATTAAGCTGCACGCCAACAAGTACCTCTGTCACATCAGATAAAAATATCCAGACTATCTGAAACACCTTTTTCTATGTAACTATCCAAGGGCCAAAAGCGGTTAACAC